GAGAGAGAGAGAGAGAGAGAGAGAGAGAGAGAGAGGGTCTTTAGGCCATGTCATTGAGTAGAGCAAGCAGGTACAGGAGAGGGAACTGAAAGGAGATTTGTGACAGCACTGGCAAGAAATCAGGATTTTTGTAAACCATTTATCATCCAGAAAAGGCAAGGTAGGGAAAACCCACGGAAGGCGGAAGAGAATCGGCGCTGGGACTCAGAATACAAATTTTCCTCTGCAAATTATGAGCTTGTGCTGTGGTGAAAATCAGATGGATATTCTCTAATCAGGACGTGGCGAATCCGGGAAACATAAGGGGACGTGGGAGTGAAAGCAGAATGATTTCTTGATCGTTCTCAATTCGAAGTGGCTTTTGTGTCGTAGAGCCAGAGTAGAGGACATGGTGGTGGCGGTCGATGTGATGAAAATTCTGATGAAGATCGATAAGTATAGGCGATCAGGTCTAATGATATAATCTATAACCTATAATTGGCAATTTTTGCATTCCTATAGTAGAGGCAGATCTTTCTTACAGGAAACAAAATCTGTAGTGCTTTTCAGCTAGCAAAAAGGAAATTCGAAGAAAAGGTTTGGAGGTGAAAGTTGTTTAACATTAAAAAAAGGAAAAAAGAAACAGAGAAAATAAGCGTAGTAAAGCAATCAATTTGGAACGTTCTGAAATCAAATGTGCAAAATGTGAGAGGGAACATTCTGCCAAAACATGGAAAGACGCACCGACCTAGGCTACCAGATTATTTTTCTGCATTACATAGTTTTTTTTTTTCGTTTTTTGTTTTTATTTTTTTTGTTGGGCCCTTTTCATGGTCCTTGAACGGCCGTGCTTCCTGGTAAAAAAAGGTGATCCGGGCGGCCCGGCTGGTAGCCCAGGAACCGACATAATTTTCTGTCTTTTCAACTCTTCTGTGCGTCCGGTGGGTGAGTGGTAGTGGAGCGAGGCCCGTAGTCGTTTGGAATCGGGTACGCGTTTGTGATTGTTCTTCTTTCTTCCTCTGATAATTGAAATTTTGAATTGGGTTTTCGCTTTGACGATTTGACTGTGGTGTCGATGACAGGAGGTGTCTGTTTTCGCTTTGACGATTGTTCTCTCCCTCTCTTGATCAGGACATTGTATTTGATGCACGTATGACAACGGGTGCCTGTTGTCATTTTCGCGCAAGGTCTCTCGTTCGGGATGTTGATGTGACGTGCTTATGCCGATCAGGTGATGCCTGTTGATTGTGTAGTGCTGTATTTGTATCCATATTCATGTCGACCCATGCGTTAAAGTTTAAACGCATCTGACCTAGTTTGCATCCATATTCGTACCGTGTTGCATCCATCCGTCAAATTCCACGGGGGTTCGAACTTACGACCTGTATTGATTTCTAGTCTGGGGTGTCGTGGGTTCTCAACGGTGCACGACACTTTTCTGCCGCGCAAGATAGTTGGCATGCGTCGCTGAATGTCTGTGTGGTTTGGTCTGATTGTATTTTCGGTCAAAGGTCGGGACTTCTCGTCTGGTGTACGCAACTCATTTGCCCTAATCCCCTTTTTGCGAGCTCATTGCCGGGGTGCATTGCCCACGGGAAATATTCTTGAATAGGGTTAGCCACTCGTCGTTATTGTATCCAGCGAATTCCATGTGGATTCGAACTCGCGACCTGTTTGCTAACAGTTACGTGTTTGGGGTGTTTATATGTGACCATTCAGGCGCCCGAACTGTGTTCTGTAGAACACTTTTGGGAACTTCGGCTGCGTTTCTTGCTGTGATGTCAGGTTGTGCAGTGGAGAAGGTCCTTTCGCCGCCACCTCTTCTCCAACATGACTTGCGCCGTTCTGTAATTGTGGTCGTTTCTTTGCTGCCACCTCTTCTCAAACATGACTTGCGCCGACTGCTATCGTATAGAAGGCAGCTTTGCGGTCAGATACGGTCAATCCTGATGAGGGTGCGTTGTGGGCGGGGAAAGATAACAAGTGTTCATCGTTTCTTCGCTGTTCTTGCAGAAGGAACTAGTTAAGATTGCGTGGGTGTTATGCTTGTGTGCTCTTTTTTTTTTTTTAACAAATGGAAAATGTCTTTATAATGCTATAAACCTTTGGGTGTCCCCACTTTTGCTTTGTGGGCAAGAAATTATGGGGGGAAAAAACAGGGATGTGGGGCAGCGGCTGCTGTCATGTTCTGGTTGAGAAGAAAAATCTGAGATATAAAGCATGGATGCGGGGTGGGCGTGGCTGTTTCGCGAGTTCGGGGAACAGAAGGAAGAGAGGAGAATGGAAGCCTCATTTTTTTTTTTATTGGATTAAACCACCAGTACTTCCTACAGTCGCGCCCATAAACAAGGCGCGGCTTTTGGAAACGTACGGGCCACTACAGGAGCGGCCAAATTCATCCGACTAGACATGCTTGTGCTCTATTATTATTATCTGCGGCCGATACCGCGGCTAAGTACTGGTTGCTTAAGAGGTTTGATTCTAAATTGGCGGATCAAACCAGAAAGCCGTAAGAGGGCCGTTAGTGTTGTGATGCTGAGGAAGGTGAGAGAACCCTCCTGAAGCATTGAAGAACCCACCTACCGATCCTCCCCCTGGCCCCCCCACCCCCCCCGAAAATAAAATAAAATAAAATGAATCAAGAAAACAGAAGAAGAAGAGAAGAAGACACACACCCAAATCTTCATGTCCAGTTGTTGAGAGTACAAAATTTGCTGCGGCGGAACACTGACAAAGTCATCGTATCTCATCAAGATGAGGTGCTCCATGCCGAGAGGTTCCTGTGGTGCGTCTGTTTGTGCGAGATATCAATCAATTCCGGATGTAGGAAAGGGCAGAAGTGTCTTTTTCTCGGCTACATATGTAGGTCGTTTGGGCCCCCCTGAGCAAGAAAGGGTGATAATCTGCTTCCTGGGCCCATTCTTGGGCCCATGGGATCTGGTTTGAATGGCCCCTTGGCAGCCAAGAGAGCTGTGTACCACACCGAACCCGTTTGGAGCTTTCGCGAACGTCCGAACACGTTCGGGTGTTCCGCCGAATGCCTTCCGAACTACCTCGGTTGAATGTATGTATTTTATTTTTTTAATGATAAAAAATAATAAAAATAATAATAATAATTTATTTTTTTTTGTAAGTTTTTGACTTTTAATTTGAGTTTGGCTCAGAATTTGAACACGCCTCCCAGACAGAATTTGTTGTTTGTATTATTATTTCACATAACATATACATTTTCAGATTTTTCTGAGAACTTTGTTTTACTTAGGACTTTAATTTTTGCGTTCGGAGGGTTTTGGCGGTTTCTCGCGGCGGCACAAACGTTTGGGTTTGGTCACCGAATGCGAACACACGATGCTACGCAGCTAGAGAGGATGAAAATCCACTTGGACTTGGAATGGGAGAGGGGCTTGACGAGCCTCGTTTATGCCGAATAGGGACTATGGGAGGGACACCTGTATTTTACCCTGCTGGAGGGACAGAAACAGAAATATAAGTTGTCTGGTCTCACAAGGCTAGGCAATTCAGGACCCGACGTATCGTAGTGCCAAACTGTACTCCTGCTATGGGGATTGGTCACGTGCGAATGTGGTACCGGGGGAAGCCTTTACGGAATGCGGCAGGTGCTGGTGCCGCTGTAGGAGTGTACCATGGGCACATGCTAAAAGGTGGTAGTGAACCACCAGTACCGTTGCCCAGCATGTTTCCAACCTTGGAAACGCCCTGCGTGCCAAAATAAAGCGAACGGGTGCTGCCAGTTATTTTGCTCCAGCAGCCCATTCCCCGGAATTTGCGATGCCTTAAACAACCACCACTACCCCCGCCAGCCTAAAGCAGGATTTCCGGAGAGTTAGGGTCGAAGAAAACGGCAGGGGGGCAACCGGCGGGCGCAGGTAGGGTCAGTCCCACAATTGTCAAGTGCTAACTTTTGGTGATATTTCACGCTCAGACTAGGCTCCCAGCCGGGCCGGCTGGGGCCTGGGTGGCCAGCCCGTGCAAGGACCAGGAAAGGTCCCAGCGAAAACAAGAAAAAGAAATAAAAACCGAAAAAACCTATGTTATGCAGAAAATAAAACTGAACAAGTTTTGCGTCAGGGTCACATCGAAATTCTTCACCAAATTTGGAATAAAAAGTAAAATTTAAAAACAAGTCTTTTATTTTTATTTTTCTGGCCTCGCCGGGCAAGGACCCTCGGCCACTCTGGTAGCCTGGCGCCAAGAAGGATTGATGAAAAAAATCTGAAAATTGGATATCCGGTGGATTAGGTTGTGATCTATAAGGTGCGCTGGGCCCGGTTCCCAGCCGTGTTGCTTCCCACGAATAGATTGGAGCATCCTCTCCACAAAAAAAAAAAAAAAAGAGAAAACTAGGGCGCTGTCAGGGTTAGAGTTTGAAAATACGTTTCAAACTGCCGTTTTGGAGTCCAAGCCCCTCTGAAGTTTACACTGCAGTCCAAACTCTTCGGTCGCGTGCCTGTCACAGGGCAGAGTTTCTAACCGCAGTCTAGTCATCCATGTCGGAGGGCCAGGCCGTTTTCCAAAAAAAAAAAAAAGAAATAAGAAGAAAAAAAGAAAAGCTCGTGGTGCTGTATCTTTCCATGATCTAGCGGAAGATTCACTCTCAGTTTCCACGATGGAAATGTGCAAAATGAGAGTGAATCTTGGCTAGAACATGGAAAGATACAGCGCCACGAGCTTTTCTTTTTTTTTTGGCAACAGGGATACAGGGCCAGGCCGCGATGCCTCAGCCACGGCCGAGATATTAGAAAAACAAACAAACAAAAAAAAAAAACACATGCCGGACTGGACTGCAGTTGCAAACTCGGCGTTGCGACTGTTGTGCATGTAGAGAGTTTCGACTGCAGTTGAAACTTGGGACCGGACTGGACTCCGAAACGGCAGTTCGAAATGCAATTACAAACTGCTTTCGTGACTGCGCCCTAGTTACCCCCCCCCAAAAAAAAGGTGGTGATCTATCCAGGAAAGAGATTAGAAAAAGAAGAAAAACAAAAAGTTTAGACTGCCCAACAAGTGCCCCGCGGATTTGTTGCATTCTCCATTTTTGCTACTCGACCACTTGTGGGTCGATGGAAAAAGTACCACAACGTCAGCGATTTTTGGCGTTCAGAAGAATGATAGAAAAGCTATGGAAGGGTCTGCAAATAAATTCAGGCGGCAAGTCGTTGCATTTTCGATGTTTGCCACTTGGCCGGATCTCCCCACTATGCTACCGGTCATCCTCGTGAACCTCTGCTACCAGTCGCCCTAGGACGGCGGGGGTAGTGCTGGTTTAAAGGCCGCGTCCGAGGCACTCATGGTTTTAACAATTCACGCACGCGTCATTTACCAGCCTACCACCACACCCACCGAACATGAATGGTGTTTTCTCTGGCTTCGGAATCGAGCCTAGCTGACAGGACAGATTCATGCGCAGGACTATAAGATGGTCTTGGTCTTTGACAATGTAGGATGAAAGAAATTCTCTGCGGTAGTGGACTTAGGTGCTGGCTTCAGCCGGTCGGTAGCTATTCACCTGTAAACCTAGGCCACCAGCCGGGACGCCTGGGTCACCCTACTTTCCCAGGCAGCCCGCCGGTGCAAGGACGAGGAAAGGTCCTATTGAACGAAAAGAAAAAAAAAAAAACCGGAAAAACAATGTAATCCGGTAGGCTTTCAGCCGGGTTGTCCGGGTCACCCTTTTTACCCGGGCGGCC